GGCATTTTGAAATTACCTTGCTGATGATAAGCAGCAAGCAAACAAACTCGTCTTTGTGCAAGCTCAAAGTCCCGGTTGATGACAATAATAGGTCTGTTTCTGCAGAAATCACAAACCAGTCAGAGTGAATTTCATTGGTTAAAACTAGTTTTCTGACTGTTTTCAACCAATGAAATTCGCTCTGACTGGTTTGCGATTTCTGCAGAAACAGACCTATTATTAATTTAGCCAACCACTCAAACACGCAAACTTTTAGAGTCTCTGCTAAATTTGAAAAACATTGTTAATGTTTTCAAAGGAAATAACAATTTTTCACGTTTGAAAATGCAAGGAAAATGCACTGTCGTAATAAAAAAACAGTCCGATCAAGGACTGCGTGACGTCACTCGCATTCCTCCATGTTCGATATTTTTTGTGAACGTATGTTTCATGGGATTCAGCAATCCTGTAGAGTTTACGATTTTTGTGTGAGAACAGGGCCGTCGTTTGTGATTTAGAATTGGACAACAGCTGGGTTCGGCTATTCAGCACGGAGTTGGAGTGGACTGTGGAGTAAGAACAGATTTTTGCACGTGATCTAGGAGTGATTAAAGTGAGAAATTAATACACGAACGACTGGAACGGTCGGAGCAAAAATGTCAAAAAGCTGATTTGTTTTGTTTCAAAACATCCGTAGACAACCGTGACTTTACTACGTTCCAATTTCCGATTTTTTTTTTCACTTTTGTCTTTGGTCTTTCGTGTAATATAATTTAATATAAAATTAACTTCAATTCCTCCACAGTAATGAATAATATGATGCTTTTGCCTCTGTTTAACTTTGTCAAGGAAATTTTTCCATCATGTTTAATAAATTTTAAAATTAGATCAATTATTTAACTCAATTCCCCGAATGTGCTGGCAAATTGCCCGTAGAGGACTGAGCAGCGCCAAAATTAGAGAAGAAGAAGAAGACCCAAGCAGCGCTTTTACGTCGTAACAACGTCGTCATCGATGTCTTGACGTTAAGGCGCGACGTCAAGTAGACGACTATTCAACCCATATTTTCACCAAAATGGAGAATCATTTCAGGGTTGTAATGACGTCGCAGGTCGCGAGGCTTTACTAATTTTTAACTTATACGTCAGCATACACAACCAGATTTGAACGTTTAATAAACGTCGTAAACCATGACTAACCTAAAAACAAATACCAAACCATATAAAGGACTTTCCAGGTTTAATATATTGCACCAAATTCGCACTTTTGGTTTATTATTGGTGTTATTTTATTTCCCAACTCATCACATTAAAAACAAAATGAATAAGTACCTATAAGAATATTGGGGGACATAAAATAATAATGGCGCCTGGCTTTGTCAACAAAAAAATACGTGAAACTAAATATTTAGCTCCTGTAGGCACAAAAATTTCAAACGAAGTCAACTTTTCTCTCAAATATAATTATGATATGCACATAAAACAAACGGGCTCCTATTTTGTTAATATTTTCCAAAAAAATAAAATAAATCTGTAATTTACATAAATTCTTATATAGTTCCGATGGGACAAGAACATCTTTGGGCAAGTCCGATTTACACAAAAATAAATAATTTTGCCAAAATTTCCTTATTAAGGATTGATTTTTTAGATATTATTTTATTTTTATTAAACGTGCAGCAATGGCGGATGATTAGATAGGACCTTGTGATATATAAAATGGTCGAGTTAATAATCTGCACCTAATGCGTGTTTTCGTCATGAAAATGGACTTAATCTATATAAACATACGACCATAGGTAATAAAATAGTACAAACATATAAACCAAGAGTGACTATAGGTCCCATATGGTAACCTATCGTAACCAGTTCTTTAGGTGCTTCAACGCTCTCATTTATTTGAAATTTTTCAGGAAACTATAAATGTTTTATTTTCAATGTTGTTCAAAATCTTGAAATATTTTCTTTTAACCTGAAATTTATTTTTTAAAAAATTCTCCTTCTGTAATATGTGGATGAGTATTTGAAGCTCCCGTTTTGTCCCATATCATATCAAAAATACAAAAGCAAATACTTATTCAAATAAATGGTTGAAAACTTTTTATAGTAACGCCATATCTATTGTTTGTTTATGTTTTTATTTGACCGATGACAGGTTATTAACGAACGAAGCAAAAAGTATGAAATGCTACACCAAAATTTACCTTTGTCCAATTTCAACGTTGGCCGGCCGTTTTTCTAAGACCTCTATCTGACCTTATGATTGGTCGTGTCAGACGACGTTTTTAAAACGTTTCAGACGTCACAGGATATGAAGATAACGACGGATTGACGTTTTCAATGCAACGTTGAATTTGGTACAATATTATGACGTCCATTTTACGATTTTTATCTTACCTTATGATTGGTCGTATTAGACGACATTTAAAAAACGTTTCAGAGGTCACAAGTATACAAGAGGACGACGGATTGACGTTATCAATTTAATGTTAAGACTGGTTTTCATTTATTACGTAAAAATTAAGCTAGATAAAGGTCCGATTTCTTGACCACATCTTAAGGACGACGGCACGACGTAATTTTAACGAAAAATCATTGACGGACACTTATCTGCACTGTATCTGCACTTCTGGCGACGTTGTATTTGGTTAATACGTAGTCGCAGGGACATGTATGTGCTACTTGGGGAATTATTTAACTCCATGATTTTACCAATTCCCGCATCCACACATAAGCGATTTTAAATTTTTTCAACAACAACCACAACGTGACAACACGATGCTAGCTTGACAGTTTCCACATTTCACTTCTGCGCATGCTTACTCTAAAAAATTCTCTTTCCGAAATGGAACTTTTGGAGTGAACCCCATTTACTCCACTCCGTGTAGTCGAACGCTAATGGAGTCACCCCTAATACGCCAAAAAGCATTACCCGAACGGCTGGAGTGTGAATGGAGGCACTCGGAGTGCACAGAGTGAGCAAGCCGAACCCACCTAACGTATTGAAAAGTTCCAAGGACGAAGACATAATATTAGGTCTGTTCTCATAGAAATAGAAATCACAAACAAGTCAGAGCGTTTTTGATTGGTGCAAATCGCCAACAACCAGTTTTCTGACTTTATTTTGAATTTTCAACCAATGAAATTCGCTCAGACTGGTTTGTGATTTCTGTGAGAACAGACCTATCATCAGCAACTTGTTCTTATGATGAATATGTAGATGAGTATAAATAAAAATAAAATATCAAAAATGGAATGTTTTACTTATCTTATGCACCCCACGGAGGGGCGGTCTATTGTTTTTTTTTTTTTTTTTTCAGACGATTTTCTAGGGACCCCGACCGAAATGAAATATCGGTTCCGTTCCGGTTCTGGTCCACAGCGTCATGACGAATATCGGTTCCGTTACGGTTTCGGTTCTAAGAAATATTTCGATTCGGTTCGGACCAATAATTTCGGTTTTAACGGTTCATACCGGTATAGTTTTTCACAAATATCTAATGGCCATTTGCAAAGACCAGTGATGACGTAACAGCGTGTCGTTTCTCGCCTTGACGTAGTACCAGTTGCACCACGGTAGGAAGTGTTTTCTCGCGTCTCAAAGTTTTGAAACATTTTCCAAAACTGGTTTAAATCAGTTTCACAATGACGTCATAATTTCTCGGCACGGGGAAATGGTTTTAAAACGTGGATTGGATTGTATTTCGAAACGGTTTAGAACCATAGTACATTATTTAATATTCTAGAACAACCCTTGTTTAGATCTCATTTGCATCTTCCTCTTGTCTATTGACTATTTGTTAATCAAGTTTAAATTATATTTTTCATCATACATGTATATTTTTCACTACGAACGCAAACCGCTAACGAGACCCATGATGACGTCGGCAACGGTTGAACAACATATGAACTTGATTCCAAAAATCGAAGCCGAGGGGCAATCGTGTAGTAGTATGTAAAATCCTTGGTGTGTAGCCTAGCCGAGTTCAGAAATGCGCGCTGTCCAATGTCCAACGCTCTGTTTTCTAAAGTGTAATTTTATTATGATACAACTAGTCTAGGAGGTGGCGTCGAAAACATGCAAGAGTTTTCTCAAGGCTGATATTTTCAAAATCGGTTGTACTTAAGTCATAAAAGGCTAGTGTACAGTCAGCACTCACAGTTCCGGGACAGCTGGCGTTGGGACGCGCGCAAAGTTTGTTATTTTAAGATGTTTCTAACTGTTTTTCCAAATCTCAAAATTAATTGAAATTTTTCACATTATCTGTTTGAAGGTCACAGATGACGTGTGTAAATCGTCAGACGTCTAGGTCGCTGCGAAAAGGGTGTCAAACGCCCTCAGTGTTTTTATTTTATGGCATTTTCTTCGGTGTCCTGTCAAAATATATTTTTGCAGGTATTTGACAAATATATTTGAAGAAAATGCCATAAAATAAAAACTTTGAGGACGTCTGACCCCCTTTTTGCAACGAACTAGACATCTGACGATTTACATACGTTATCTGTGACCTTCAAACAGATAATGTGCAAAATTTCTATAAATTTTGAGCTTTGAGAAAACAGTTCAGATGCTTCTTAAAATTACAACTTTGCCCGCGTCCCAGAGCCAGCTGTCCCGGAACTGTGAGTGCTGACTGTACACTAGCATTCTAACACTAAAGTACGACCTATTTTGAAAATATCCGCCTTGCGAAAACTCTTGCATGTTTTTGACGCCAGCTCCCCAACTAAACCAAACAGCAAACAGCTTAATTTATTAAATCATTGAACCGAAAAATACCGGTAAGAACCGATTAATTTATATCGGTTCCGGTTCTGCCTGCCCTACAACATTTCTATGAAATATGGGTTTCGTTCCCGTTCCGGTCCGTAAAAATAAACTGTTTCGTTCCGGTTTTCGGTCCAATATCGTTCCGGTCCGGGTCCCTGCGATTTTCATTCGCTGTCCCGTCCCAATTTTCCAAAGAAAATTAAAATCTGGCAACCCTGATCTGTTTGCCTTTGCTTTGGATTTAGGCCACCCACATTACGGCACGGCAGAAATACTTCTTTTTTTCTGTCCTGAGTCACTGCCTTCCTGAGTTGAAGAAGTGGTGGTGTATTTTTTTATTTGATATCCAAACTACCTCGACCATGTAAGTAATGACATTATTTTATTATTTAACAGTGTTGAATACTTAGTTAGTGTTAAAGTTAGTAGGTACCCAGCGTCAGACTGGGGACCTGAAGGCCTATCGAGTATCGGGCCAAGACCTTTCTTTTATAGGGCCCATAAATAAAGGGTCCCACCCCAAAGTCATCCAACCAAAATCCCAATTTTTACTGTTTCTGTGAATTATATAATAATATAAACTTTGTTTCACCAGGGTTGGGATCACAAGTAGAATTCTACTTTCATGACGTTACCCGCGACTCATTTTATGCTAGGCAACTTGACGTCATGAAAGTAGAATTCTAATAGAATTCAACTTGTCGTGATCCCAGCCCTGGGTTCATACTTTTGACATATTTGCCTTCCTTTGTTAACAAATAGAAATTGACTGAAACAAATCAATGACGTCAAAATCGTTCGTCGGTTCTTAAACCAGCAGTCATTTATTTTAATATGTCAAAAAAATTGAATGTGTCAGATGAATTAATCTACGACAACCCTTTTTTTTCAAGTTTCAAGGTCAAGCATGAACCCTGGTGAAACGATCTGTACAGGGTTGTCGTTATGTATGGAAACGTCAAGCGGCCTAATTAATTAGAGTCTAGAGTTTCGCTTATCGATATTTCTATTCTCGATACAATATTTTTAAAATATCGATACCTTTCAAGTGTTATCGATATTGTAAATCCATATTTCGATACCTGTGAAGTTCGTCTTACGAGTCTAGCGTGGTCTAGCACTATGGAAAGAATGCGGATGAAAAAATTGCAATATTGCCTATTTGACTTCCAATAGAAAATACCATAATATTTTTAGATTTAAAAATTCTTGACTGGCTTGTTTAATAGGCGAGATGATTCTTGGGATGCAGTCTTGGCATAAATAAAACTAGTTTTTCACAAACGCCGAGCTTTCGGAAATTTTATTGTAAAAAAAATAAAATTTCAATTCACATTTCAAAATTATAAAGCCGGGCTCAAACGACTCGTTTGGCGAATAATCGTTACTTGCGTATACTTGCCATGTCGTGTGAGTGGGTTACTTGTACAATTATTTGTCACTCGCTGGTTTTCCATTTTTTGTTGGTAAAAATGTCCCGAGTCAAAGGGATCACGATTATTCGTACATTTGCCAAGTAGGCGCCGGAACCATGGGGGCAATGGGGGCTTGAGCCCCCATAGTGAATTTCCTATGGGGACAGTGCCCCCATAGTGATTTTGGTATTGTGTGTAGTGGGTGTAATGGGTAAGCACAGAAATATTGAGTTCCTGTTCCTAACTATTCATTTTTATATCAAACTTGTGTGTTTAATGTTTTTGTTGTTTTTGCTATACCTATTTCAACAAACATTTTATAGTTATTTACCTAACAAATGCGGAAAGTGATACTTTACCGCACGCAACGGCAGTTGACCGAACGACGCGAAGCGGAGTTCGGTCAAGCCGTTAAGGGCGGTAAAGGCACTTTCCGCATGTGTTAGGTACAAAATTTTACCTATGAGCATCTACATCTCCAAAAAAGTGCATTGATAAAATTAATTATTGAATCAGATTAATTAATGAAATTAGATTAGATATAGAAATGATCAAAAATCCATTTTCTGAAAAAGAGAGGATTTCTGATTAAAAATATCAAATTTTACTTTACCGCACACTATACGGTAAGGTGCATTTTACCGCACACTTTGTAGTCCACTTTACCGCATACTATGCTGTAAAGTTAACTTTACCGCACGCTATGCGGTAAAGTGCACTTTACCGCATGGTGTGCGGTAAAGTGATACTTTCTATTTGCAAATACGTGCGGTAAAGTGGACTTTACCACACGCTCGTAGGTAAAATATTTTATTGTGTAGTATTTAAACCTCTATTTTCAATAGGTCGTTCTATTATTATTTCCTTTTCGTTCGTTTTCATGTTAGCATAGAATAATATACGGTTAATAGATGCGTAAAGTTTACGGAGTGTTTTTTACCTATAGGCGGCGCTGCTCTCCGAATTTATTTCGAATTTATTTCGCTTTCCGTGGAGATATTGAGAGCAACGTTGCCATATTATTACGGCCGATACCGCGCACAATACATGATAACTGATAAAAGTCCGTATTCACTTGGATTCAGAAAGATAAACAAGTCTCTCGAAATAATAAACAATATTAGAAAAATAGGTATTTCTTCAACTTCCGTGCATTAATTATATTCATTTTATTTTAATCGAAAAATAAAGTTCACACAAATCGGAAGAAGCGGCTTTAGGTTTTTTATTTCAAGGAATTTATTTTATGCAAAATTTAGGGAAAAATTTTGATATTTAAATTTTAAAGAATTGATTCTATCGGGTCTTCAAAAAAAAAACCAATCAAAGATTGCTTTGGTTACGAAAACGTACGTCGCATTACTGTTTGTTTATTGGTCAAGATTTTTGACATGACATTTTGACATTAAATTTCATTGACTGACATTGTCAAAATTAAAGAAAAATATTGCTAAGACATACGTTCAAAAAACCATAGCAATCTTTGATTGGTTTTTTTTTGAAGACCCGATATCTACTTCGTAGATTGAAAAAGCGGCAAAAATGTTCCAATAATTTTTTTCAAGGTATAACTACATGAAACCTTTGCAAAATGATGGAATAGATACATGGCTATCTGAAATGGCCATGGCTATCTGAAATGGCCATGGCTATCTGAAATGGCCAATTACAAATTTTTACTAGTTCCAACAATTTTTATATCGAAAAATGTCATAGATTTGTCAAAATTCGGTTTTCATACTTTTTCACACATACCTCGCGATATCTCCAAAACTAATTGAGATAATTTCATTTTTTTTTTTTTATTCTGAAGAGAATACGTTAAACAAAAGCACTAAGAAAATTTTGTTTTTCTGAAAAACTCGCTTTATTCGTGAAACTAGGTAAAACTTTATCTTAGACTTTTTATGCATTAAGCGAGAAACTTTTTTGATTTAGGGATTCCTGCCATACTATCAGCGAATGAAACAAAGCTAGGACATCAAGGAAGTTTTTGAAAAAATTCGCGATACTCCGCGATGCATAGTTTTCAAGATATCGTCACTTGAAGTTGAGAGTTTTACTGGCCGTGCACTAGTCCGGGTAGCTTCGCAATACTTCGCGGCGCGACGCAATTCCCTGGATCTGCCTGTTTTTTGAGCGTAGATGCATTTTCATGATTATTCGAGCAAATGCACCATGCATATCAATGTTCACAATAAGTATTAATTTTATGATGGCGTTTCAATGAAATAAGCAAAAAAAAAAAGAGTAATTTACCACTACTTTAACGACTTGTCGGGAAGTAGATTCCTTTATTATTGATGGTATCAGTATGGTATCAATTCAAGAACTACAATATTAGGAGAAGGAAAGCAATATTGCGCATAAACAATCATTGTTGCAGGAAAGACGTAAGCAACTATTTTCTCAAAAAAGGCGAAACTTGCAGGATCCGACCTATAACAATGACAGGACCAACACTGGGTCTTGGCCTCATCCATAAACGTATTGGACATCAACGTGGAAAATAACATGTCTTGGCGTAACCACATCACCAAAATCGCCAAGACAGCAGCACAAAAGCTAGGGGCTTTTTATAGAATAAGGAAGTTGTATATCCCATTTCAGTTTTTGCTACTCTTATAAGGCCCAGATAAGAGCATCCTTGGAATACTGCAAATATATATGGAAATCGGTATCCAAACACTTGCTCAAGATGTTGGACTCGATACAAAAGAGAGCAGTCCGTCTTATCGATGACCCGGAGTTGACCAAAACCTCCAAAGCCTTGAAAATCGGTAAAAGTGGCGGACCTATCATTTACTATCGATACTACTACGGAAGGTGTTCGAACGATCTAGCACTTCTGATTTCGCCCAAAGTTGCACCAAATAGAAACACTCGTCAGGCACAAGCAGCTTATCAACATACAGTTCAGTTATAAATACCTAGAACATCGCTGTTTCGAAATTCATTTTTCTGTAGGGCCGCCTCGCTCTAGAATGCATTTCAAAGTCGCATCTTCCCCGAAAACTAGAACCTACAGCGACCAATGTCCATCGAAACCTCCACACACACTCCACTCGTTGATATAGGACTTTCCTTTTGTGTGTGTACCGTGTGCCGACCATGAAAAAAAAGCCTAATAAATGGATCAACAGTCATAATAACAGGTGGATTCCAGGATTCTGAATTTTGAAAATTAGATAGTACTCAAGAAGAAGCTAATACCAGATTATTATTACCTTATGTGCTAACAGAACTAAAATCAGTTAACACAATTCTGGTAAAATCTGTTGATGTCGATGTCCTAATACCTATTGCTTATTCATGTTTACTGCACAATACCAGCAATTCCCCAAAGTCTATTTATACAGTTAGGACAAAATAGAACTGCATATTTTTTTATCAATAGATGATATTTATATGTAGTAGGAAATTTGGAAAAAGAAATTTGTAAGGATTAAAATGTTGGAGTGATTGCGAATATCTAAACTGTCGTAACAGTTTGCGTATTTTTGCACTCCCGAACACGACGTGATTTCGCATGATGATTTAGAAGATTTTAAATTTAATGTGTAGGTATATTTTGGTGTTTTTTTTTTTTCATAGGTACATAGGGCTTATACAAAAATATCCTATGCATTTTTTTGCTAATTATTGGGGAATTTTACAGAACAAACCCTTGCTTTTTTGTTGTTATTTACAACACGAGTCAAATTTCCAAGACCAAGTTAATGAAAATAATCAGTGAAAAGTAAATATTTATGCCATTATTATTTAAAACCAAAGGTACAGATTTTATTAATTTTAATTTGCTCAAATATATCATGAAAATGCACCCAGGCAGGCGAAAAGGGTCATTTACATCCACTTAACGTAACGTACGAAAAATTATAATTAAGGTTCGAAACTGAGGGTTGTGCTTACATTGTTTACAATGAAGTTAATTTTCCTACGTGTTATC